AGACGCGGTGAGCCTTTCGCCGACGCATGCGTGGTTAAACGCGATAGATTCGGTGGGGCTTCTGTAATGGTTTGGGGAGGCATCTCCCATGGAGTAAAATCCCCCTTAGTGGTCCTGGATCAAAACCTCAATGACGTTCGATACAGAAACCAGATCCTCCAACCACATGTTCTACCACTTCTCAGACGTCATAACCTAATTTTCCAGCAAGACAATGCTCGACCGCATGTTGCCAGAGATTTTCTCACGGCAAACAACGTTCAGCCTCTGGAATGGCTCCCATATAGCCCCGACATGTCTCCCATTGAGCATATGTGAGATGAGCTGGACAGGCGTATTAGGAAACGTCAAAAAAAAAAAAACTAACCGCGCCCAGTTGATCGCAGCATTAACACAAGAATGGAACAACATTCCCTTAAGGCGAATAATGTTCTCATGAATTCAATGCATAGGAAAATCCGTGCAGGGATTCGTGCAAAATGTGCCCACACCAGGTACTGAAGTGTCATTTTGTTTTTCGCGGGTATCCCACTTTGCGTAACTACTGATGACAAGAGTGACGACACACAGACTTTTCGTCTACAGTATTGTAAAGAGTAGACTTGTCTCTTCATATTGATATAAAATTTTGTACAAATGTCCTCATATATTATAGGCTATTGATTGCACAATTTAATTGTGCGATTATTTTTTTGTTCAGTATTTATATATATATGTCTATGTATGTATTATTGGCATTTAGAATGTGTTTGTATCTTTCCGGATTATGTAACTTACATGGTGTTGTTGTTGTTGTTGTTGATGATGATGATGATGATGATGTGAGAGTGTTAATGATTGTTGAATGCACAATAATGATGTGGGAGTGATAATGATAGTTGAATGCACAATACATATATGCATTTATTATTTGTAATTTATTGTAAATTATAGTTATCCAATAAGTTGTCAAACTTAAGGGTTACAAGTACTTTGGTTTTGACACGTATTAAAGCCAACTGATAACATGGTCCCGTATACAGGTAAACATAGCAACTTTGTACATGTACCTGGACCGTAGTTTTCCCCACCCAGGGCACTTACGTAACTCGTGCAAGTGTAAAATGCAGGCGAAGAGGAGATATAGACCAACACGAATGCACATAACAAATATTAAACGTCCAGTTGTGTTTTCATTACGGTCATATGGTATCACATGTCAGGCACAGGCCAGGTTAAACTCCGGTCAATCATCAAAATGTTATTTACCTGTTCTGTTACCTTGGAGTCAAACCAATTCTTGACAATCTTACGGTCAGTGTAATGCTGTGTAACAAGCATTGTAAACTTGAACAAACTCGTAATGAATACCATGAGAAATTTATTAATACAGTGTTCCTTTTTCCATACGGGCCTTCCGGATTTGTTTCATTCCGTAATATTGATTCATCAATTGTATGTTATCGCAGATTTGTCACAACAGTCACTCGGCCGACAAACGATTTCTACACATCACACATGTCATATGTACAAACCTCTGGTATGCTTACAAACCCATAACTGCACTTTTAATTTCCACAAGGCCTGGGCTAGTCACTATCGCTCGACGACATGGTAGCACTCTCTATTTCCCGGCATCACTTTCAAACGATGCACGAACGCGGTCATTAGTATTTTCTACTTAATATTTTGACCCAATACCTTAATTTCAATATAAAATAATTTATTCCATTACCTAATAATACAATTATGAAGATATTGTATGAAGTAAAAAATGGATATTTCATGTGAATAAAAATATTGAAATGGAGGAACTTTTTTCTTTTGTTGTGACGGAGAAAGTGGGCGGGGTTTAATTGTCTGTCAACGGCTTTTGCGAAATGACGTTACAATAATTTTGAAAGCAGATTACACAAGGTAAATGCTTGTATCCGCCTCTTTTAATGGTGTTATTGTTAAAAGAAAATATTGTAAATATAAAGATTAACATTTTATTTTGTTTAGTTTATGAGATAATAAATCCAATGGAGCAGTTGGTAAGTTGTTTGTGAACGCTTTGTGTTTACGCAATTTACCTCATGGTCCATTGGATTTATTATCTCATAAACGAAACAAAATAAAAGGTTAATCCTTAATCAATTTATTGTGTGTTGAATACCTCAGTGACATGTACAGTCCTCGACATGTATCTTAAATATACTCCAACCAGTTTATCCTCCCATAATGCAGTAAATGTAATGTACTCCCCTATATATTTTACCACCAGCAACACTTTCTTTGAACCCTTTTGTACCCCTCTACCCTTCTTCCTCTCCCATTCTCTTCTCTTCCATATATTTATATCTATATGCATAATATTCGCCAGTGCCGTCCGATCGCCGCTTCACAAAAAAGGAGACGGATTACCATAAGTGCTTTGTACTTGTTTTCGAATCCTATATGTATATCATGTTTGCATTACAGGAATATTATACCGATAATAAAATAAAGTTTAAACTAATTAAAACATGTTGCTATCAGTTGCCATGTTTGCTTTCCTGTGATTTAAACGTGCACACCCGACCAGTATCGCGGTACGGATCGATTTTTTGTCGTGGTGCATTTTGATGCAACTAAGCACAATACGTGTAAAACCCGATCAATTTCCAGATAAGAAGAGTTTTGTTGCACGGGCATTGCTTATGCACGCCCTATCCCATAGTTATAACCCAGTAACTATTTCTTTACGGGGGTCTTATTACCATGATTTTTTTTCTTCACAATTTGTTGTATGTTTATAAAGAAAAATATTAAATCAAGTCAATATTACTAGCTCACAGACATACGACATGATACTTCCCAGATCTTGTCTGATGTCAACTTTATATTTAATGTATATGGTTTGAAGTGAAATGAATCAAAATTATGATGCTTCCACAATTCGAATCGAAGTTCATGTTTTGTTTTGGTATGTTGTCACCGTATTGTATCGTTTTCTACTCGTCTTTTCTAACAGTGTGTGTGTGTTTTTAACAATAACATTGTTAAATTAACATCACCCAACCCGTCTTTCTATTACATACTGTAATAGAACTAGTCCACGCGTACATGTAATCTTATCTTGGTGCCTTCATTTTAGCTGCAGACTACTATATGTTACAGGTTATCTAATAAAAATCAATAAAATAGTTCTTTATCAGTGTGAAGTAGCGTTACCTTGCGCATGGATAAACAATCATGATCGCAACGGCGGTTGGTATCAAACAACATGGCACCGGCGAGGATATTAGTGTGAAACATGGGGAACAATCTGATGGTATTGATGGTGAGTATCCATAGTTTAGACCAAATTCACCGTTAAGTGACCGTGTATATAACCGCGGTCACTATTTAGTGTAGATTACATTTACCTTACTGACTATATGGTGGCTATAAGTGTCTGTGTCACAGTGTGTTGATTTTGGCCTGCTGGGTCTCTTTGTTCGTAGGAGTTTTGTGTCTGAACATTTTAGCAATTCAGTTGAAACATTAAAATGAAGTTAATATCAAGCTAGTTAATCAAGCTAATGTTGTTCTGTGTTTGTATGTGTTGGGGATAAGGTTGTCGGGTTACGGTGATTCCGCCATTCAAAGTACACTACCTCTCACAGAAACATCTGTTGTGAAACATGTATAGATGAACATTATATTGACCATGCACTCAGTGTTTAGATGATTATCCACAGTAATACACACTACTAAAGCACAACGCAGTTATACCGGGAGCCCATTCCTACATACGTTGTATTTGGTAAGCTTTAACCTCACTTTAGCACTGTTATCTGCACTCAACTCTTCCCCGGTCAAACCTAACCCATATCTACCTCTTCTATTCCTCCCAATGGAAATTCCTACAAGTCAAGTGTTATTATTCCCTTTTCCTTTTTCTTGCACTACCCTCCACACTTTCAATTGTCTTAAGAAAGTGCATGAGAGTATGCTGCTACATAGCCAAACTTAGTGCATGGATAGTTTTGGCATGTGACACAGACAAGTATTGTCTTTTTAACACACTTACAAAAGTCCTAACTCCCATGAATAGAAAAGATAATTAGGATTACATTGGCAATTGCCACGTTCTTCAGATGTGAATAATTTATTATTAAAACGCAATATATCCCTCTTACCCGCCCCCAAAACACCAGGCTAGTGTTTTTACAAAACTCCAAACTCCCATGAATAGAGAAGGATGATACATGCCTCTTCCTCATCACAATACCTCGAGAGCCAGGCTAGGGTTGCTTTTTAATGTCACTTGTCATTATCACTAGAACTGTTTGCTTTTCTATAAAGCGTTATACACCATTCCTCAACCCTACAACCCGGAAGAGGGACACGAGAGAGCATCTATGGTGGCCTATTGGTGTCATTTAGTTATTTCGTTATTTCGCGTCGAAAGAACGAGATTTTAATTGATAAAATGTCGTTGTTTCGTTGTTTCGCCGCGAAAAAACGACATTTTAACTTTACTAAATATCGTGATCTCGCCGAAAAATATCGAAACGACGACATTTTAACTTTACTTAATGTCGTGATCTCTCCGTGAAATAACCAAAAGACGAAAGGACGACATTTGTTACACGAAATAACGACAGTTGTAGGTTCATAATTATCGCGTAATTATTTCGCCTCTTAGCTCGACTTTTGTCTTCTTTTCGTCTTTTCGGGGCGAAAAAACGTGATGACGACAATTTACATACAAATATAGTGTCGTTATTTCGCCAGCAACGGCGTTCTATAATTTGAAATCTCGTTACTTTCGCGGCGAAATAACGAAATAACGAAATGGCACAAATAATCCACCCTAAGCATCAGTTAACCAAGTATTAACACGATATGTGTCGGGCCCTTATTGTCCCTCGTAGTGTTGTTTAGAGGAAATCTGATAACAGTGTTGTTGGAGAGACACGCTTTAGTATAGTAAGGTAGAGGAGTATTTTAAATCAATATCTAAAACCGCGTAACAGTGTTCTGTCGTTAGGGTAAACAAAAGGCTAAAGGGGTACATGCATTGTCTTAAACTAAATGTTAATGCATCTGTGTCATTTTCATAAGCACACAATAGGCCATATCATTCGGAGAAACAATGATGTTTATTCAATCATGGGATGTAGCTGTTGTCTTAATTGTCGTAAGTTGGAAGATATCTATATTAGTCACCATTTAAAGAATGCTTCGGTAGTACTAAGCTATAAACATAATGTAGCATTTCCTGACGGTTCCTGATATGGTGCTGTTTCTAAAGATTATAATTATCCCATAAACTACTTGTGTACATTTAAGTAAGCTAAACAGGAAGCTGAGGTTGACGTGTCTTGTCTGACTTTGTTTACACATATGCTGTTTATCTTATATAATTGTTTGGATGGAAATTCACGTTCTTTGAATATTCACAGAACATGATGACTTAATTAAGAAGAAAACCAATTTTGATAAAGTCTCACTTTCTACAAACTTAATAACCAAGCTTAGTTTTTTAAACGTCTGTTATATTAGGCTTACATTTTCTATATAAATTACAAAAAAATCCAGACCGCTACTCAATTACATAGTTTATGAAATACACTTACCAGGTATCACAGTCGAACCATAAGCCAAGATCGCAACACGTGATATAACATCACAATGAACATGATACCAAAGTTTCATTAATAACAGAAACAGCCTACATGACCTAATATTTCAGTAATAACTAAAACCATTTAGCATTAATGTCAAAATAAACAGAAACAACTAGCCTAATTTACAATTAATGACATTACATATAGTAATAATTATTGTCATTTTAGCATTATTGTCTCAAATAATAGAAAATGTTACGCTCTTTTAACTTTAATGCATAGAATAGCAGAAAAAGCTACTTATTTTTAACATTAATGTTCGGAATAACAGAAATAGTAAATAGCTGTTAACATTATTGTTTGAAATAGTTAACATAGACACTACATTTTATTTTAATGTTTGGAATAACAAAAATAGGGAATTGCTTTTAACATTAATGTTAGGAATGCCTTCAATAGCTTATCGCTTTTAAGATCAAGGTTCGGAAGAACAAAATAAGCTTATTGCTTGTTACATTAATGTATATATTACACTCTGGCACAATGGCACGTAATGGAAAGCCAGGATTGTGGATCTTGGGAGTACAGTATAAGCGCGGAGTCATTTCTGATGTAGGGTAGACCTTTCTGTATTGTTTTTACTGATAGTGACCTCGTAATTCATCTTTTTGATAATTGTGACAAATTTACATTTAAAAGATGGTGTAGGATATTTTTTTCAGCACTTCGTATGTTTTGTAGTCACGTAGCATGGTGGGTACCTTTACTTCATACTCTATTTATACATGACGACAGTTGCTCTGCCTTTGTCGGCTGGTAAAATCATTATGGACTTTTAGCATCTACTGATGGGCGGAATGGGTAAACATGTAACCCGTTCCCCTCACTGCCTGCAATATTAGAGTGCAATTGGGCGAAATGTCTCTTTGATTTTTGACAGCTGAATCGGCACACTGTGGCTTAGTGAGTTGTTCTCGGTGGTTTAGAGTCGAGATTCCGGCCATTCAACTATTTGCTTGACAAAGGAAACAGACGTTTACGAAAGCTCACAAAATAAGTTTTCAAATGTTGTTTGTGTTCAAAATAAATATAGGCTTTATTATTCATACTAACTGATGAATCTTTTTCCGAAAAACAGAAAGATCTTATTGGTTTTTTTTAACATTTATGATTAGAATAACAGAAATAGTGAATTATTTTTAACATTTATGTTTGGAATAACAGAAATAGCTCATTGTTTAAAACAATTATATTTGGAATTACAGAAAAAGTTTATTGTTTAAAACATTTATGTTTGGAATTACAGAAATGGTATTTGTCTTTTAACATTGGTATTTGGAATTGTATTAAGCATAAATATTTGGAATAATAGAAATAGCTAATTGTAATAAGCATAAATGATGGGAATAACATAAATAGTTTTTTGTTTTTCACATTAATGTTCAGGATAACAGAAATGTTTATTGTTTTTAACATTAATGTGTATACCAACAGAAATAACTAATTGTTTTTAAGGTTAATTCATCGAATAACAGAAATATCTTACTGTTTTTAACATTATTGTTCGGGATAACAGCAAAAGCTTATTGGTTTTGGGATAAATGTTTGGAAAAACAGAATAATCAGAATAACAGAAATAACAAATATCTGTTAACATTGTGGTAGGAAGTTATAAAACTATCCGATTGCCTTTAATATTCACGTTTGGAATAATAAAACTACCGTGTGGTTTTGAAAAAAACTCGAAATAAAAAAAATATGTAAATGCTTTTAAGGATCCGTGTCACATTGCACTGTGGTGTTTAGCCCACCTGAGACCAAGTTTCAAGTGACCTATTGTGATCGCCCTTTGTCCGGCGTCGTGCGTCGTGCGACATCCGTCGTGCGAAGTCCGTCGTGCGTCGTGCGTCGTGCGTCCGTAAACAATTTACATTTTCGACTTCTCCTCAAAATCTGATGAACCAATTGTAATGAAATTTTGCAGGAACCTTCCATGGCCAACCATATTGTGAATTATATGGTCCCCAGCCCCAAGGGGCCCAAACGGGTAAAATTGACTACAATTTCAAAACTCTTCTTCTCAATTTCCAGATATGGTAGAATCAAATACTCTTCGTAGATGGAAGGGTTTTAAGGTGCTTTACCAAAATTGTGAATTTCATGACCCTGAGGTCTCACGTTACCCCCTGGGGAGGGGGTAAACTTTACTATAGTTTATATAGGGAAATCACATTTTTGACCAACATTTGTTAAATTTTCATTGGAATACATTAAATTTCGGTTAGCATTATCAGTATTGGATGGCAGTTTGATGGTATGCACATATCAGCCCTGACTGACCCCCGGGGGCTTATGGGTGTGGCCAAAAAGGGTCGAATTGACTGAAATTTCAAAAATCTTCTCCTCAAGATCCAGATATGTTAGAATCAAATACTATTCATAGATGGAAGGGTCTTAAGGTGCTCTACCAAAATTGTGCCCCTAGGGTCTCACGTTTACCCCTGGGGAAGGGGGGGGGCAAAATTTCTTATGGTTTAAATTGGCAAATGATACTTTAGATATTTCATGTTGATATCTTGAATGGAATTATAACCCTGAGTTTGATCATTTGAAAAAATTGAGCCAGTCCTACCCCCAAGGGCTGTAGGGCGGGGCCCAAAGGAGTCAGTTTGCTAAATTTTCTTCATTTTCCTTGTTTAGAATCAGAGGTGCTAGTTTCAAATACTTTTCAGTCTTAAATCTGTTTGCTAGGTATTGAAAAAGGTGTATTTATTGATTTTTGTCAATTTAAATAATATTTCTGTTCATGTTTTAAAAACAAAAATCAACTCTCTGTATAAATATATCAGAACTCAGGTGACCGTTAAGGCCCATTTTTATTTAAAAATAAAATGTTAAAGAAATAACAAATTTTAGTCTAAATGACAGAAATTTTAAAAAAAAATCATTAAATATTCATGACTTTTATAAATAAGTTTCTCGTTTTGTTTTTACAACAGCTTGTGGCAGCTTCAGTGGGACAATCGCATCAAATGTCTGTAAGCATTGACCATGTAGTTAAAAAGTCGCCGTGCCCTGATGCTAATCGTGACTGTTTTCCTATCTATTATCGGGTTTGTGTCGACCTCATTGAAGACAGCAGGTACGTTTTTCATATCTTCTATCTTGTCAATTTAAATCAATAGAGGCGGCTTATTAACTGTGATTTATCAGGATGTAAGTTCTGATGAAATTCATCGAGTAGTTTATAATATGACTCATTAATCTTTATAATTTACGAAATGGCAGTAATTCTGCTATGAGAACTCAAGCATGATTTAATGATCTTTGTCCCATTATACAGTGGGTTTTCGTTTTCACAAAAACCTCCCCATGATTTCGTTTAAGATTTAACTGTAGCACAGTTGTGCCGGTGTATTTCCGTTGACCAGGTAGGTTAAGTTTGTCAGCTAGAGCGATAGTACAACAGTTAGAAGCCAAGGGTTCGAATACCGGTCTAGCCCAGCTGCATTTTAACATTCAGAACCCTAATATTAATAAAGAATTTGTTAATTTCATCATAATACTTTTTCGTAAAATGTGCCGCGAAATTGATTTATCAAAGATTCAGTCATGCCGGTCAAAAACAAATCCTAGTCCATAGTTATGGTCTTTCGCAGTGGTACTAGGATCCTTATGTATGTAACGTTTTCAAAGGAGCTTTCATTTCTAATCGGTTTAATCAGTTTTAATCAGTTTCTCGATGCGAAGAGAATCTACAACAGCAGTGTTTAAAAAATCCGTTCAAAGCCGAACTAGAATTGAATTCGACATGGATTTCTCTCATCAACTTTTACTCGAAGTTTATTTCTGATGTTGGTGGTTTTAAGTGTTGTGTCCGTGTATCAAGATGGGAATACAATTTATTGCCACTATCAAATGTCTGTCCTACATGCAGTGCTATTTTATCTATGTATTGTTCTTAGCGTGCTTTGGTTTAGCGTACCACGACGGACAATTACACGTTTGTCTTAAGTTTGGATAAAAACTGCTTACTTTGAGACCGTAACAACATCAGATGTAATTATTCGTTTGCACTCTAGGCTGTTAAACGTACATGAATGCATATATCGTTATGATTTCAGTAAACATATCACCGGGGTTTATATAAACATCTCCCTCTCCATGTAATTAAACTTGTTATTTTCGTGAAAAAGACAGAAAAAAGATATTTAAGTTATAAGCAATAAATGTGGGGATTAGGTTAAAAAACCAGTGTAAGGAAATACTAAAGCAAATAAAACAAGCAGATTTTGTGTAAGTTAACTATTTTTCAAGCATTTCTTACTACTGAGTTTTATAAATCACAATAAAAGACAAACATGTGCAGATTTATTCTTGTCCACCAATACACATGTAGTTTAATGTGCTTTCGCCTCTACTCCAGTAGCGACGTGACCTAGATTGCCAAATGTAGGCTGTTGTTTTGCGTGTGCAAGCAATGGCCATGCCCCGTTATTATTTTGCCAACAAGCTGATGTCGTAAATATTGGTCGTGTGACCTTCATTTGACACAGCTTCTTTGTCAGTGAAAAGTCTCAAAAGGCTCATTGGTTACATTTGCAATGATCTGGGAGCATCAGGAGGAGCGTGTGTATGATTGTTGGACAAAAACACATGTGATTTAATGTCCACTCACGCATGGTCACTTAGCAATGACACATGTTGTTACTTTATCATAATACACTTGCTAGTTGAATGTAGTGTAAAGCTTTGACACATGGGATGGATATGGCTCTGTAAAAGTGGGGATCGGCATAATACAGGCCGATATCCATATCAAGACAGTACGCTGTTTGTTAGGGAAGCATTCGAATATATCAATACGCATTTACTTAATCATTCTCTTATTTATGAGCACCAATCAGAATTCATGTTAGGTTATTCTAAAATAGGTTACTTAAAACATTTTTAAATTGTGTTTATCAAAGGTTTTAGTTTAATGTCTAAACTACATCAAATAATGTCAAACTTAAATATTTGAAATATAATGTTGATATGAATGTATTGAAATATTTTATGTATTTACTGTTAAATATTTTACGTCAATGGCTTATGCAGGCTTTGCCTATTTCTACATTAATATATTCTGCAATGAAATCAATGCGTTGAAGAGGACAGCCCAGTGTCACAAATAGAAATAGCATTGATGTCTCAGCAGTTATAGTGCTATAATAGATAGGTTGGTTGATTGACTAAGAGAAGGAAAATCAAGAATATACATACATTTAATATCATTAAATAATGAATAACTTTCAGATCGTGCTCTAGAACATCCCACACTTGTAATGACCCATTCCACTGTGTTGGCATGAAAATGGACAACAAGCCCTTTCCACGGCTACTACTTCCACAGCAGACTGTCACCAATGAAACATTTGTGAGTGTTTTTTTTACAAATAAACGATATTAACTTTTCTACTACAATTGTTTCATAAATCGTAAAATATGCACTTTAACACATTTAACATTTCACGTTTCGCATGTGGAAACGTAGTTTGCAGTGATAATACATGCAACATGTATGAACACATATAGCACACTTTTGCAAAAGTTGCGAAAACCTTTCTTATCCCGATGAAAATGTAAAATCACTACATTGCTGTGAAAATAAAATATGACTACAACACTATTTCTGGTTTAAGTTGAGCACTGTGTGTGTTGGTGTGTGACGATTTGGAGAGTAAATCTGTGAAGAATCATAACGTTTATATCTCTGACCATTACGACGACGACCTATTTCTTTTACAAATCGGATATGAAATGTGTTCGCCGTCGTTTCTGTTTTGTTGAGACATATTCCGCTAGCTTAAGTTAGTGAATTATACAGAAAGTCGGAGAAAAAGTACAAAAAGTCATTTTTTTTCATAAAATGCCTATCATAAACTTGCTTGTGATGGGTTGAAGCTGAAATATTCTGCGATTTAGCTTAAAACAAGAGGGCAACGGTGACTTTAATTTGAATTGGTTGAATTATTTCTGTATTGTCTGGTTTTGATTAAATTTACTACACAAGTGTATTATGACACTAAAAACGCTGTGCGATGCATACTTTGCGAGTACACGTGTTGCTTTGGGGCCTTTTGTAAGGTCTTTGTTACAATTAGATAGCCAAAACAAGACAAATTACAAGAAAATGAGTCAGACAGCCGATCAAAAGAGTACTAATAAAGATAGAACAAAGCGCAAAGACAGACAGTCAAACCGTGTTGTAAGAATGCAAAAAAGACCAAACAGATAGACAGATGGTTGGAAAGAGATGTCACAAAATCAAATGTTTCGAAAAATAATAATTTGTTAAGTGAGGTTTATGATAGGTGTTAAATACAAGGTCACGTGTGAGTCAACATTTCAATATGTTCGCCAAATGCAGTTCTCTTGAGGATTTCCTTATATTCCATTTTGTTAATGATCAAAAAACAAATTTTCACAATTAATTAAAAAACTACGGACAATTATTTTGATGAATATGTATTTATATGGATAAAAGAGCGTTATATTTACCGAGATAAATGCTTTTCTCTGTCATTGATGTTCATAATACTATTTTTTAGATCAAAATCTCTATTGCTGAAAGTGTTTCGGAGGGTAACCCTTGCAGAACGGCTTCAGCACTTGATTGCCGGTATTTGAACACATCGTATCAATTCAGCAATGTAAATTTCAGGTTTGTCATTTCGACAAAGATTTGATTTAATGTACAATTGCTACATAAGTACTGTCATTTCTCAAAGTCTGTTCTGCAGTTTCTTTCCTTTCACCAACACTCGGTTCTAAAGTGCATACCATTAATAAAACACGTGTATTTATAGCCCAGTAGTAATAATTTTACCCAAACTCATATTCATACCGCGACGGCATTATTTCTTAATTCTAATAACAATGATGAATCAAACACAACCATTACATGTAGCTGTTAGGTTCGGCTTCAGAATGAAAATAATGTTATCTTTTTTCTACTTTGTCTAAATCATTATTATCACAATGGTTTGTCTGATATTTTATACATTATATACATTTAAACCATGTTTAATATTGCAACATTCTGAAAAGTGTTTAGTATGATATACAATACTTTATCTAGTTCATATCATTGGTTTTTTTTGTAACTCAGATACAAACGTATGCACCCTAACAGAAATGCTTTCAACCTTTTTTCGAAATCTTACAGTTTCCAGGTAACCCTGTCAGATATACCCGCTACATCAACCTTCGTCTCAACGCCTATACACACTGGTGAGTTATCAACGCTACCAGATATATGATAATGTCTTTATCAGGTACTTACTACTTTATACCATCTAACGGTCGCATATATTAGTCATTATGGGTTGTCTGTATGAGAATACTCAAGAGGTTGAGAACGACTTGAGCATAACTTTAGAACAAAACCAATTTTCAATTTCAACAAATTTTACTGACAATGTAAATTGGATTGGACAAAGCCTAATAATCCATATAAACACAGTGTAGGGGAGATAACTTTAATTTAGCTTGTTAGATAAATATTTTTAACTAATATTCAATCATTTTCTGTTTATGTTTCGGATATTAGCATTTAATCACATTGTTTATTTGTTGACAATCATTCCTTAATAAAATATAAGGGATACAGGCCCACACCACTGGATATATAGGATAAGATACCAAGAAATACACATTTTGTAAAATTTCAGAATATGACATGGATTCACAGGGGAAAATGTAGTTATTATTATCTGTTATTGGAGTTGATTCTTGTGAAATTTAGCTGCTAACAAATCATTACAAAATAATCATGTAACTATAGAATAATTAAAACAGTATCTAGAGTAGTAATCTTAAATTCCGTCCAGTCCATTCCGAGTTCCAGAGACGTGTGAAAGTAGATATGATATATACAAAAATGAATATACACCAGTATCAATATGTATCTGCATAGCGAAACCAACAATACTAGCATCACTTTCAATGTAAAGTTTGAGGTTGTGAGAGGTATTACATATCAAATATATTAGTTTAACGAATATAGTCGGATACATTTGTAAAATGAATATGTTGATATCAGTGCTGCATAGTATGCCCCTTTATAAAACAGGTTTTAGATTATACTGATTATCAGTTATACCACAGTTATAAATGTGTGTTCTCGTTGCAACCTAATGTTATTACAGAGTGGTAAATGCATTTCATTTTCATGTCCAAATCTACATGCTGGGATGTCATTCAGATGATCCATATATATGCCACTATTTAAGTTGCTAGCATGATTTGTGAGCTGACCAATTAAGATATTAAATTTTCTTGGCCCAAAGTATCTAAATGTTCTAATATTTATTTTATTTTTTTATTTTTATTTACCTTATCTGATTTGATATATGATATATGTAGGGAAGCAGCAATCAAATTTTCTGTAGAGAGAAGCTTAAATTCTCTACATGCTGAGGGGGGGGGGGGGGGGGGGGGCTATTGATTGAAATAATCTTTATTTCTACAAAGTAGAGGATTGAAATATTCAATGATGTCTCCTATTATCTTTGACGATTCATTTTTGTCCAGTTTCTGCATAAATCTTATTGAATGAAGTCCCTCTACGCAAACCAGTGATAGTTCTCACTGCCTCTCTAGCTGGATTGATTCTAGAACATTTTTATTTTGTTTACTACAGTTGTCCCATACTACATCCCTGTATTCAAGTATTGGTCAAGTAAAAGATATATATATATATTGTTTTAAGGCTTTTCTATCCAAGTTGTGATTTTAAATTCTCAATACATCCATTCTTCTATATGCTAGATCAGAAATACTGTCAATATGATATGTCCATTTTCCATCACTACTAAAAGTTTATTAATAAAAGTTTCATTACAAAATAGGATATCTGGATGATTTTGTTCCCTTTTTCTTGGAAAATTACATATTCAGTTTTCAGCAAATTAAATTTAAATGTATTAATAGAACCTATATCATTGGTTAATTTCAAACAGTTTATTTAGTGTTGTCTATTACATAATAGAGGGAAGTATCATCAGCATTTTTTTTTAATTTTACATGTTACACATTCTGTTATATCATTAATATAGATTACAAAAGGAAATGGACCGAGGACCGAGCCTTGGTGTACACCAGCTTTGACATGCTCATTAATTGCATAAAACCCCTCCGTTGATACCATCTGTTGATACTCTCTGTTTTCTATCAAAAAGTTAATTATTAAACCATTGCAATTTTTCTCTTTTTTTTACCATATGATTCCAACTTAAAAAGCAGATTATCGTGCCAAACTCTATCAAAAGCCTTACTTACATCACAAAATACAATCTGATTTTATTTTTTTAATCTTGGTTATTTACAATAGTGTCATATATAGATAATAACTGATTTAGAGTTGAGTCTCCTAGTATGAAGTCTGATTGGTGCTTCGTTATGGTATCACATTCTTTCATATAATTAAACATAAGTTTAAAATAACTTTTACAAAGATTTGTAGATTGCATTAATATTAGCTAAGAAAGAGGTATAATACCAGATTTAATTGTCCGTCTAGTCGCATACCCCCCCCCCCCCCCAGTTCCCGAGGGGGGACTATAGGTTTGCATTCCGTCCCTCCATCCGTACTTCCGTCCGTCCGTCCGTCCATCCGTCCAATATGTTGTCTGGTATTCTATACTTTTTTAAAGGAGTAATCAGATTTGGTGTACAATGACATCTTGGGTAGGCGGAGTGCAGTGTGCAAGGATTAGGTCACTAAGACCAATGATTTAACCTTTGACATTTACTTATGAAAACTCATGAATACGTTTGTCCGTGGCATATCCTCTATACTACATCACTTGGAGTAACCAGATTTAGTGTACAGTGACATCTTGAGAAACGAGTGCAGAAAACAAGAATTAGGTAACTTTGGCCTATGACTTGACCTTTGACCTTTACTTTTGACAACGTTGGTCCGGTGCATATCTTCTATACTATTTCACCCGTAGTAACCATATAAGGTGTACAAAGACATCTTGGGATGGCGGTACAAGGAGAACGTCACTATGACCTCACTGTGACCTTTGTTTTGAACAGTAGTTACATCCTGACATAAGTGCATTGTTAAATATAATAATCATTACCGGTGAGGAACTATGGATTGCCTTGTTACAAAGAAGGGTCAGAGGACATATTAGAAAAGGTGCTAATTTCTTTATTATCTTGGGTAGATTGCCATCTGGGCCAGAAGGTTGTTTATCATTACGTATATACAATTGATCTTTTTTGTCCTGTTCAGAGGAGGGAGACAGATCTAGCAATCTTGCACCATTTATTAGGAGGTTTAGATTGGTCACAAAGTGACTGTTGCAATTCTCTAACGAGGACTACTGCTTCATTTCTAGCCTGTCTACAATTTTCCCAATTAATTGCAGTGTTGTTATTTACCACTTTTTTATGTGATCCACTTTTCTGTCTAATTTTTTACCATATATTATTCCTCATCAAAGGTTTATCATTAGGGCGAATAGTTATAGTTTTAGTTGGTATACATTTGTTTATTTGATTTGTGATGGAATCTGTTAAAAAATATTAAATTCTTCAGAGTAAAGATTATTTATTAGTATTTCCAAATTGATTCCATTTAAAGCTCTATTCATTTGATCAAAGTTTGCATTGTCATAGTTTAACATAGTTTTATGATATGATTTTTGCTTGAATACATAATTTGAACAGGACAAATGAATAACAGAGTGATCAATGCATATTTGTGTATTCACTGTATTATGTTTTATATGATTAATTATTAGTGAATAACATATCAATAGCAATGGCAGTTGTTTGTGTTATCCTGGTAGGTTTATTAACTAGATTTGTTAAGCTATTATTCCATTCAAATAGTGGCTTATAAGAATATTGAAAATATTTTCATGTATGTCTCCAGTTATTATTATGTGAAGGGATGTGTTACATGTGTTAACTAAAACATGGTCTAATATATCCCAATACTCTACATTTTATACAGGTCTATAACTACATATCCTTAACAACATTGTTTTCTTACTAAAAATACTTAAACCCATATTATTTCGATATCATCATGCTCAAGATCAATTCTTCTTTCAGTATGTACTGTGTCTTTGTGGGAGATAAATACTCCTCCCGATAGTCTAGTATTTCATAGTCTGTGAATGTTATGGGAATGGGAGTTAAATATTATTTCAGCATCAGTTACATTAGGAGCAAGTTTGTTTCAGTAAAGATCTAACATCAAGATGTGAGATTTCTATGTTACACCGGGGGCCTTGGTTTAGTTCAATATCGTTGTAAAGGATTAATAGGTTTTGAATGTTATATACAAAATATTCAGTATCATCAAAGTGTAAACAATATGTACTGTAATAGCTAGGGTATGTAATTTTACATGCAAATGCTCGGATGGTCAATGTTTTGATATAGTAATACTCCTTATAATATAGATGTGTCCCAATAAATAGAATAACGATATTCTTATACTTAACATTATCAAAGACAATCGAGTGGTAAACATTAGGATACATCAATAGGTTTCTGGTGTAAACAAACTTACGATAGACATAATGACAATCTCTGGAATTCGACTGTGGACTGAGTGGACATGGAGTATAGTAAAACAGTACATTAAATGGATAGTAAGTAAAATGTTTTTTGCAAGGTATAAACAACATTCAACTGATTCATTACTCTAACAACCAATCCAGGATCAACATGATGAGAAGAATTTGAAAACGCGCAAGGTGATGCCGTGAACCGGAAACAGCATCCGGTGTTCCTGTTAAGGAATTAGTTAGTGATAAAAAATATAAAATTATGAAAAAAACATGTGATGATAACAGCATAGTTTTTAATGTAAACATGCATATGGAGAAGCTGGGGACGACATTTTTTTTTTTTTTTTAATATTCATGGTATTCCTCCGCGCAAATCTATCTGTTTACGTTTGTCCCAGACCGAGGATCTCGAAGAAAAATATTATTTAATTGACTTTTTATTCATAAAAATGTATTAGGTAGAAATATATATATGATCGACAAGTAATCAACCAATGTTTTAAGGTTTATCGTGAGAACAATTGCTCATCGCGAGCACGTGGATAAAATCGAGAGGCCACCTCTGACAGCGTGAAAATATATTGTTGTATATAGCATCAGTTGCATCAGCCATCACTTGTAAACATCGTCAGTTCTACTGATCAGTTTATAACTAGTTGTATTTATAATCAATTTAATAATATATATCAACAGTTGAACATGACAAGATCGTGGGTATTTTTTCCTTCATATTTTGAAGCTATAAAGATTATTTCATGGTTCAAACTTTCTTGGACACCCCACATATATTTAATAGTAGTCAAGTATGTTAAATAAATCGCCTGTATTTATTTTCCTAATTCCATAACAACCACGAAAACAACGAGTGTCAAACACAGGAAACATTTCATATTATACAGTATATGTACATCATTAGTTTTGTATGCCATGTATATAGATCCGACTACATCGCTGCCATCTAGCGGAGTTAGCAGTACATCATATCCATCGACCGGTTCATCGACGTCAACATTGACGTCACCATTGCTTTCAACAAGTGGGGATATTAATCAAACGTCTGTGACAGCTTCACCGACCGGTATTTCTCTAACCTCTACCCGTGGTATAACGTCACCTCCTCCCGACACAGAAACGGCGGCAGGAAAAGGTAGGTAACATTAGGAAATACTTCCTTTTCTTTTTTTCTTTTTTTTTTTAATTCCAGACAAATCATATACATGAGTAACCGAGGATGGAATACATCAGCTACGGTCCTTTACATTAATAATCTCTTAATTAAGCATACATATTCAAGTTTTATCATGATAAATATTCTGTGCAACTCTGTTCTGCAAGAAGGCTTTGAATTAAAATATATGAATCTCACCAAAATTTCACACATATTTTTTTTTTTTTTTTGTCGTAAATAACCAGTTTATCATTAACTTAAAATTTGGTTCACAAATATAACTTGCATAACATATGCCTAGAAAAATAAATATACAATAAATTTATAGGAATTAATTGAAACAGGGATTGGGGGATAGTTTGGGTAAAAACGCATCAATTTATCCAGAAAAAAAGAGGGCAGGGATAAGAGAGACATAAGAGCAAGAAGAGAGGAAGAGAGATTCCCGACGAAAGCAATAATTATTTATAAAGGGGTGATGATTGTAAATCTATCAGCAGATGAAAACAATATAGTAAAAAGAAGAAAAGAGGAGAGAAAAAAAGTAGATTTACTTAGTTTTTATCCATAATGACAATATAGTTGCTTGGTATATGTATGTATCTATATATATATATATATGGGTCAAAGAAGTAGTATAGACGGTAAAATCCCATATAACACTGGATCCGAATGGAGGTATGTCCGTAGGATACGAATAACCTAAAGTAGTATATGGGGCAAAGAAGTAATTTCAACAGTGTGGACAAGTTTAGGTTGTCAAACTTTCGGAGCGATCCGCTCCTTTATCAAGACACAGTGAAACAGAATCTATATATATAGACTATAAAAACTTCCGAATTGGCATTAATAATGGAAACAAATACAATGTCGATCAGTTCACTATATAATTTGATTACGATAGTTTGGTTTTGGTTTGGTTTGATTTTATAATGTGTAACGTCCTATAAACAGCTAAGGTTTGCGTGCTTGCGGGTTTGTGTGCTGGAGGCAGGGTATATCGGTATATTGCCTCTGCGAAAGCACGGAACTGATGCCGATTTAGAGAGCTAACTCACTAAAAGTACAGTACTCCGCACGGTCACTTTATACTGACAACGAGTGAACCAGTTGTTTCGATAACCCTAAATGCTGAACCAAAAGCAGGGATTAGCAACTACCATTTTGAAGGTCTTTGGTATAGCCTGTGGACAAAAACCGTTCCATACCACACTAGGGCAATAGTTCAACACTAAGGCCAAAAGTGAGGTATTACCAAGCAAGGACCTAGGAAACAAAACCTTTTTCAGAAACTTAAAAATGAAATATTAAGATCCAAAAAGTTACAATGGGGGCAGTATATCAATTATGAATAATGGTTTCTGGCATATTCTTATAAAAGAAATATGCCTTTTCAACATTTGTTGAATTTAGTGTTGTACAAATATAATTCGTTGCTGATAACTTGGTATTGTACCCCTATACATGTCCGTTAGGCGGTACATACGTGTTCAGCTACCAATCTTACTTACTGACAGGACCTTTGGTCGGTGGAATTATTGGTGGATCTGCTGCCGTCATTATTGCCGTCATCATCGCTTGTTGTTGCTGGAAACCCATGTGTAGAGTAAGTGATATGAATTGCCGCCCTGTATAAGCCGTTATATTGTGTTTAATTTGGGACATATGTATATCATTTTATATATTGTTATGCCGTATTTGAATTGGTAGATATGTACGAAGATAAGTTTATACCTTTTTGCTGTGTTTGATTTCGGAGATATGTATTTATCGTTGTGTTTGGATTTGGAAATATGTATATTCCGTTGTGCTGTGTTTCGGTTTGGGAGACATGTTATACCGTTGTGTGCTGTGTTTGTTTTGGGAGATATGTATATACTGTTGTGTTGTATTTGCTGTTGTGCTGTGTTTGGTTTTGGAGATATGCTTATTATGTACATAATGTATATACAGTTGCGCGGTGTATACCGTTGCGCTGCTATACTGGTGTGCTGTGTTTGGTTTGGGAGGTATGTATATACTGCTGTGCTGTGATTGCTTCGGAAGATATGTATATTATGTATAAACAGTTGCGCTGTGTGTACCGTTGTGCTGCTATACTGTTGTGATGTGTATGGTTCGGGAGATATGTATATACTGTTGTGCTTTGTTTGGTTTGGGAGATATATATATAGGTTGTGTTGTGTTTGGTTTGGAAGATATGTTTATACCGTTGTGCTGTGTTTGGTTTGGGAGATATGTATATACCGTTGTGCTGTGTATGGTTTGGGAGATATGTATATACTGTTGTGCTGTGTTTGGTTTGGGAGATTTGCTATACCGTTGTGCTGTGTATGGTTTGGGAGATATATATATACCGTTGTGATGTGTATGTTTCGGGAGATATGTATATACTATTGTGGTGTGTATGGTTCGGGAGATAGTATATATAGCGTTGTGTTGTGTTCGGTTTGGGAGATATATATATACTGTTGTGTTGTGTTTGGTTTGGGAGATATGTATATACTGTTGTGCTGTGTATGGTTTGGGAGATACGTTTATACCGTTGAGCTGTGTATGGTTCGGGAGATANGTATGGTTCGGGAGATAGTATATATAGCGTTGTGTTGTGTTCGGTTTGGGAGATATATATATACTGTTGTGTTGTGTTTGGTTTGGGAGATATGTATATACTGTTGTGCTGTGTATGGTTTGGGAGATACGTTTATACCGTTGAGCTGTGTATGGTTCGGGAGATATGTATATACTGTTTTGCTGTGTTTGCTTTGGAAGATATGTTTATTATGTATATACAGTTGCGCTGTGTATACCATTGTGCTGCTATACTGTTGTGATGTGTATGGTTTGGGAGATATGTATATACCGTTGTGCTGTGTTTGGTTTGAGAGATATGTATATACCGTTGTGCTGTGTATGGTTTGGGATATATGTATATACTGTTGAGCTGTGTATGTTTTGGGAGATATGTATATACCGTTGTGCTGTGTATGGTTAGGGAGATATGTATATACCGTTGTGCTATGTATGGTTTGGGATATATATATATATAAATATACTGTTGTGCTGTGTATGGTTTGGGAGATATATATATACCGTTGAGATGTGTATGGTTCGGGAGATATGTATATACCGTTGTGCTGTGTATGGTTCGGGAGATATGTATATACCGTTGTGGTATGTATGGTTCGGGAGATATGTATATACCGTTGTGCTGTGTTCGGTTTGGAAGATATATATAAACTGTTGTGTTGTGTTTGGTTTGAGAGATATGTATATA